CGCCACCCCACCCAGCTGCACCCCCCAACTCCTCCCTGCCCTCCTTGCGTGGGTTGGGGAACCTCATGGGTGGGGGATTGGGGGATAGCAGGAGCCCAGGGTGGGGGCTGCGGGGATGGAGAAGTGAGGGCTGTGAATGAGGTGATCTCCTCCCTAGAGAGGAGAGATCCCCCACCTCAGTCCCAGGATGGGGGATTTGGAAATACAATACCTTGGAAAGACCTGGGCTCGTCTGCCTGGATCGGGATGTCTGAGCGAGATTTGGTGGAATGGGGATGGAGGGGGAACAGCTGTTCCCTGCTTCTTCCAGAGCAAGAATTGGGGGGGACCAGATAAAATAGGTGGGTGCAAAGCAAGCAGGACAAGGTGGTTCTTTGTGGGAAACGTAGCTGAGCTGTGGGACTGCCTGCTGCAGGGGTCGTGGGTGCTCAACCTCTGTATGGGATCCAAGCACCTTTAGACAAAATAGTGGCAGAAAAGCACAGGGAGGAGGATGAAATGCAAAGACACTTCCTCTGCCGTGGGAAGAGACTTTGCTGCAAGGGCTGGGGTCAGGACCAGGGATGCGCAGGGGGTGCTGCTTGGGAGGGAATGGGGGGAAGTGGCGGGGGGGGTCTAGGTAAGTGCAGGGCTGCTCTGCAGGGTGGCTGCGTCCCAGAGGCAGAACTGCTCATCACCCTAAGGTCCAGGGACCCTCTCCTCTCGTGACCTCTGGCCAGACGCAGTGGAGCCTGCCCTTGTGCCTCACCATGGGCATGTCCAGGTGCGCCAGGCTCCTGTGTGTGCACAGCCTGGCACAGGGGCATCTCGGGCACCCACCAAGGGTCCTGCTCAGTGCAAGTTGTGGGTGCAATGGCCATGGCTCAGAGAGGACAGTTTTCCTCCGGAAATAAGGAACACTGGTGCCTGATTCAAAGCCACAGCAGGTCCTGCCCTGTCCTGGTCTCTCCTTCCCCTATACCTGCCTGCGCCTGCCAGGGGTGCAGGTCAGAGCAGTGTTCCACCCCGACTTCAGCTCACCGTGGAGACATCCTTGCAGGGCACAGTGCCCCTAGAGATGGGCAGGGGCCGTGCTGTGACACCAGACCAGTTTCAAGCAGAGGTGGAAGTGGGGAATATTAGTGCTGGGATAGATCTGGGTACTGCCAAGATACCTCCTTCTTGGGGCTGCAGATGAAAGAACCAGGCCAGATCCTCACACCAAAGCAAATGAGCAGGTATTCATCTTCAGTGGGGTGTGAATAAGGGCAGGAGGGATGTGGGGACCCTGGATCTAGACCCACCACAGCCTGCGTTGACCTCTGAGCACTCCTACCCCTGTCCCAAGGACCCCTGTGCTCTCCTCCTCTTGTTTGGGGGGCAGGATGGGGTAAGGACGCTGCAAAGGAGACACAACCTCGTTACCATCTTCTGTGTCTCGAGCAGGGAAGATGCAATGAGGTGCCTCTAAAATCTGGGTCTGGGAGGGGGCAACATAGCAGGGGGTCAAGGAGACCAGGGCACATCCTGCCCTTCTCCTTGTGCCCTGAGAGGGAGCTTTAACTCTCCGCGGGCCCGGTCTTGCAGGCAGCGGGCAGATCCAGCTGTGGCAGGGTCTGCCCGGGCCGGGACCGGGCCAACCTGAACTGCATCGCCTGGGAAGGCACGAACGGGGAGTTCAAGCTGATCGACCCTGACGAGGTGGCACGGCGCTGGGGCGAGCGGAAGAGCAAACCCAACATGAATTACGACAAGCTAAGCCGGGCACTGCGCTACTACTACGACAAGAACATCATGACCAAGGTCCACGGCAAGCGCTACGCCTACAAGTTCGACTTCCACGGGCTGGCGCAGGTGTGCCAGCCGGCCGCCCCTGATCACACCCTCTACAAATTTCAGGGCAACCTGGCCCCGCTGCCCTTCTCGGGCATCTCCAAACTCAACCTCATGACCTCGGGGGTGACGCCAGCCAGTTTCTCCTACTGGCCTGGCTCCAGCCCGTCCCTCTACCCCGGGCACGGGCTCCAGCCCTCTGCCCCATTCAGCGCCATGGCAGCCTCCCACCTCAACAACATGAACAACCATTACCATTAGAGGCTCGGCTGCGCCAGG